AAAATTTGCATGATGTAAAGTTAGTCTTTGTGGGGGATCCTCAGTGTCCCTGTGGTGGGTTCCTGGCAGGGAAGGTGGGCAGAGGTGGGTGCCACCCAGCCAGCCCCTCATTAGCATGTCTGCTCTCAGCTCTGTGGCTAGAGACAAATGTAGGGGGAGCAACTGCCCCAAGGGATCTGTCACACTGCACCCCATACGCCCCCTTGGCACTGGCATTGTGAGCCAGGCCAGACCCTGGGAAAATTGAGGCACTGAGGGCAAAGGTGGAGGTCACGGGCAGGGCAGGGATGCTGCTCCCCCTCCCCCTGCCTTGCTACTTCCCTGTCTCCACCTGCTCCCAGTCATTCAAATGCCAGCAGTAAATTCCCAGCCGGGGCCTGGGCTCTGGGTGGCGAATTTATGGTGACAACAGAGCAGCCGCAGTTTGGGCTGGCAATGAACCAGGTCTTTAATACCAGCTGTCCAGGGCTGATCCCTTCCCCTGCCCCCATGGATGCCCAGGGAGACTGCGGGGTGGACAGGGCCCTGGGAAGTGGTCAGAGGATGGCACTGCTCCCCTCCCCCTCTTGATTAACCCGTGGCATGCAGGCTGCCTGGCAAGCTGCCCTGATGGTGGCCCATTGATCTAAAAAGCTTGGGAACCCCTGCTTTAGCCCATCGGCTCCGCTGGGTGGGGTCTGGCCCCCTGCATGGCATTGGAGGGCAGCTGCCGGGCATAGGCCGGTTTAGGGGCTACTTCCTGACAATGCTGAACTGCAGCCACCTCTGGGGTGTTTACCAGCCGTGTGAGCTCCCACCGCCCTGCATGCCAGACCCGCTACAGGCTGTGGTTGCTGCAACCTGTTGGCTGCTCCCAGCCACAGAGGACCCCTGGGGAGGGCCACAGATCAAGGGGAAGGGGGCATGCACTTCACTCCTCTGCCTTGTTCTGAGCCCTTGCACATGCACACGCAGACACTCACACACACACTTACACATGCACATGGACTTCAGGGGCCCAGGGTCTGTGCAGTGTCTGGGGCCAGGGCTCAGAGGCTGGGGCTGTGGGGTGGGGTACCCCGCGCGCTGGATTTTGACTGGAGGGTGACTCCCCTGTTCTGGGTCCTGGATCCCAGGCCAGGGGGGGCTGCCCTGCTCTCAGGCCTGGGATTGAGCCCCCAGCTCCCAGGCTTACAGTGGGTGATGGGGTGGGGGTGTCCTACAAGGGTTTCCTCCAGGGACTTGAGGCCAGCAGTGAGCACATCAGGCCTTGCAGGCTAAGCAGAGATAGACCAAGTCGGTGCTCGGATGGGAGACTTGCAAGAGGCAGCTGACTCCCATCAGTGGCCCAGACCCTGGAGCACGTGGGTCAAGGCAGACCCTGCTCTCAGCACTAAGCGCCTGCTCCCACCATAGGGCCCCGGAAACAGCGAGTACTCAGACCCCTTTGATGCCCAGCAGGAGCTGCGTGGGGATGGGGAGGCCGAGGCGCTGCCCGAGAACAATGGCTACGTGGAGCCCTATGATGCCCAGCGTGTAGTGGCAGGGAAGTGCGGCCATGGGCAGCCAGCTCTGATTGTGCCTGGCACTGCCAGCACCCCAGGATTGTGGGGGAAGGGGTCCTCCAACACTGCCCCAAGTCTACCGAGAGCCCTGGCCTGGTGGCTGGGCCGGGGAGTAGAGCTCCTGGGTGGAAGACCACCCCTGAGAGGTGGGCTAATGGAAGGGGCTGCAGCCCCCTGGCAGCTTGTCTACCTGTACCAGGCACAGGTACACCTGGCAGCCAGTGGCCCCCTTTGAACCAGCACCTCCTGCCTGGCCTCCGTCCCTCCCACAGGAGCACCCCTCCTCTGCCCTCCCACCACAACAACCACACCCCATCCCTTCTCCCTGCCCCTGCCCCATCCTCTTGTGCCACCCCCTACTCCCTGGCTTGCAGACGTCCAGTGCAAGGCCGAGCAGGATGGGCAGCGGGTGAAGAAGTCCCGGAAGGGGCTGCAGCTGTACGACACCCCCTATGAGGAGCGGGAGCGAGACGCCAAGGACAAGGGCCGTGAGAGCCGCCTGCCCCAGGACGACGAGCGGCCAGCAGACGAGTACGACCAGCCCTGGGAGTGGAAGAAGGACCACATTTCCCGGGCCTTTGCAGGTGCGAGTAGTGGGGGACTGGTCTGGGGCTGGAGATGGGACCTTGAGCTCAACCCACCAGATGTGGGAGGTTGCTGGGCCATGGGGGCACCTGGGAGCTATGGAAGGGGCCCCCCAGCCTCTCCCTGCCCCTGGCCCAGTGGGTAACGCTCTGCTGTGCTGCCTTCCCCACAGTGCAATTTGAGAGCCCCGACTGGGAGCCCAAGGAGCACCGGCACCCACCCCAGACCCTGGCAGGCAGTGCCAAGCCCAGCCGGTCGCAGAGCCCGGAGCGCAGCGCCCCCATGGCTGAGCGTGTGGACCCCTCGCTCCCGCTGGAGAAGCAGACGTAAGTCCCGGGGGCCTGGCCCAGCCATGTGGGGGTGCTGAGGGCCAGATGCCACGGTGACAGACCCTCTCCTGGGGGGAGCCCTGCCGGGGGACCTGAGGCTGTGCCCAGCCTGGGGCAGTCAGGCCCCCGGGGGTGTGAGATCGGGGTGGAAATCATGGGATCAAAATGAGGGAGACAGGTCCTTCTAACCACTGCCGGGTGCCCCCAGCTCGTACGCTCCAGCCAAAGGCTCTGACCATCCCCTGCCAGATTCCTCAGCTAATCCTATGCCTCCAGCGGCTGGGGCTTCGAGGGAAGCCCCTGAGGTGGCAGGGCTCCCTCGGATGTCCCCTGCCACTGAAGTGCCCCTCTCGCTCGGGCCAGGTGGTACCACGGCTCCATCAGCCGGGCGGACGCTGAGAACCTGCTCACGCTCTGCAAGGAAGGCAGCTACCTGGTGCGCAACAGTGAGACCAGCCACCGCGACTACTCCCTGTCCCTCAGGTGAGACGCTCATTGCCCCCCAGTGCCAGGCACAGCACCTCCCCGCCCCTGGGTGCTCCCCCACGGGGAGGTGGCTTATTCAGCAGTTACCCTCAGCCTGCCAAGGTGTGAGCTAGGGAGAAACCGAAGCAGGGAGCTGGGGAGCTGGGAACAGAACTCAGGAGTCCAGGAGTCAGAGGGTGTCCAGCTCCTCCCCTGGGTCGGGCACTACCCCCCACCCAAGCCCCACCTGGCTCCCACTGCATAGAGATTCATGACCAGAGCTGCCCACTCCTGATTCCCACAGCCCTGCTCTAACCACTACCCACCCCCGCCCCGAACACTTCCCGGGGTTTGTCTCTGGGGATGGCAGAGCTGCCTGATTTAAGCAAATCCTCTGTGCAGTGACCTGCCACTGATACCAGAGAAAGGTGATGGAAGAGGGTTGGGCAGGGGATGGGGGGGGGGGGGGG